TTTTTTACCTTTTGACGTTTTATCTTTAATTTGTTGGTTCATTTTGCTTATTTTTTTCTGCTCGCACTTCATTGTTGTTGTTTCCTTTTGCTTTACTTTTCAAGTTTTTTATGGTTTGTATTGGTTGTTGTTGATAAGCTGGCGCCTATTTTTAAGAGAATTAAGAGCTTCGTTTCGTTTTTAAGGAAAAGATATGATTTATGATTACCTCTGAGAAATGAGACAAAAAGCACAATCTATGCGATAGTTAGTAGCAATGGTGATCAAACCATTTTTTAAACTTTTCATTTTTTGTAACTTTTTTTTTCATTTTTTGCAAACGATATGAAAAGTTATGACATATGTAAAGAACTTGCAACTGCTGGAAGCAGACTTAAGATAAGAAAAGAAAAATATTCAACAGATTTTGCACTGTAGCATAGCCACCGTAGACAAATGTCGCAGAGTAAATGCTTCTACTGTCTTGGGTACTTCGTCCATGTATATATATTTTATACCAGTAATTACTACTCGCGGTACTACGAGAAGCGATCTCACTAAGAATGCAAGAATTCAGTCATATAGAAAGCAGTGTATAGAGGGAGAAATAAAGAAAGAAAGAAAGAAAGAAAGAAAGAAAGAAAGAAAGAAAGAGAGAGAGAGAGAGAGAGAGAGAGAGAGAGCGAGAGAGAGAGAGAGAGAGAGAGAGAGAGAGAGAGAGAAGAGCAATTAACTACAAAAAACAAAAAAAAACAAAAAAAAACAACAGTGAAACCCTACGTCCAATATAAGGTGCATCTAATCAAATTCAGGACCAAACGTGCCTAAAAGCCCAACTCTGACGTTGCGATGAATCGTTAGTCATAATTGAACGCAATGTGCTTGCTTCTCGCAGGCACCATCACTACAAGGCCCTCCAAAGACAATTTGCTGCAAGCCCGAAAACCAGAACGACAAAATACTTGGGACTTGCGGCGATCCTTAGCGGGCAGTCATCAGTAAACAGTGCAGAGCAAAAAATAACCTTAATCCCAATTTATTATTATTGCCGAGCCGATAACCTGTGTTGCTAGTGCTCAATGTCTCTTTTTTTACTCTAAGAACTCAATTCGTTAGTCTAAAATTAAAATAATAATAATAATAATATTATTGCTATTTCTTTCATTCTTACTATCTTTTACTTTTAAGATGAAAGCATATGTATATAGGTATGTTGCTATTTAACTTTTACAATTATCATATTTGGTTGAAGCCGGCCATGAAACGTCTTACAGTCTGGAGTAATACCATCTTAAACGCTTTTATTTTTATCGATTTTAGGCTTTAATCCCAGCTCTTTTACTCCATTTTCCAAGATTTTTTAGCTATAATGCCAGCAGAAAATATTATCGTAGGCGTTATTTCTTTCTACCCTGTTAACCATAATTATCAATGGCATTTATGTATCACTTTTCGGGGTGTTTTTGACCTTTTGAGTTTGTTATTATTACTATTATTGGAATACGCAGAGTCTGTCCTATTTCGCATATGAAGCTTTACAATGTTTCGCTAATTGGTAGAATAAATTTGACCTAAATGTAATAATTTAGCGTTTCTTGTGTTCCACACATAGGGTTTATAATGAATGTGTATTTGCTGACTTGCTGCCTCTCTGCGGATTTCTCCTCGTTTCGCGTTCAGAGTATGTTATTTACTTTTTAATCTATTCTGTCCTTGTGTTCTTGTAGTGTTTTGTCGCCACGTTATCTTAATAGCTCCGTCGAAGTACAATAATTGGCGCCTACACGAAGTGCATTCGCCTTTCAAACGTATCCAGGCAGACGTAGCAATGCCTTGAAATCATCTTTCCCACCTTTTAAAGGCTTTTAAAAGCCTTTATTGGGACAATTTTTTGCTTTCATTCTGATATTTTTTAGTAGTAGTACAGCTTGTTTAAACGATACATTGACATAAAACAATTAATTATGAAAGAATTGCAAAAAAGAAGTGAATGGAGTTTGTGATAACGATGCAGCAGAGAAGAAACTCTTTAAAATGTTTTAAAACAACTTTTCGAATTTTTCGTTTTTAAGCGCACTTTTTTAAGTAGACATGTTGATATTTTTTTAATGAACCTTCTTTTTTGTTTGTTTTGCGAGAAAAAGTGTTAAAATGAACAAATAATGTTTTTTATAAAGTTTTTTAACAAATTGACTTAAGAGACGCAGCAACCAATGTCTCGAAACCGTTTCAATAATTTATACTTAAAGCGTGCATAAAAGATCAATACGTTGAATAAGCAATTTCCCCTCTTTATGTACGCTCCGCTCCGCTTTCACATATTCAATTTCAATAAACAACCATTTATCGCACCACATAAGCATCGGATGCGAAAATCATGATATTGTTTGATATGATACTTTACTATCACATGTTGTTATGCCCCCACCCTCCCTCAAAAAGAGGAAGTTTCCTTTTTACTGTGTACCCTTGTCAAGCCTTCCTACGTACATGACTGTTTCTTAAGGCGAAACCGCACAATAAAAAAAATTTTTATAACGCTTTATGGTTTATCTCCTAATATTATATGCTTAACGTTCTTCCATACACTCCCGCAGAGCTATATCAACTTTATCATAAAGCCTGAGACAATCATAAACATTTTTACTCTTCTGCGGGTGCGAGAAAAAGAAGAGAAATCATAAATTTTATGAATAGCTCTTCATGGGTTGGGCGTACTACGACAGTAATGCATACTTGTGTTATGTAATTAGCGACTTTGGCTACAAGAGCTCTATAAATTTGTCAGAATCTTTGAGTGAATTGATTCAAGTCGAGTAAGTTAATACAAAGAGGCTTTAATTTTATTTCATTTTTTTTTTTTTTTACTAAGCGTTTAAACTAAACGCTAATATGACGGACAGAGCATATTATTTGTGCTATTATTGCAGCAAATATGTAATCTTTGACGTTTGATTTCGAGTGCAATAAGCGGTATAGTAAAACTAGTATACGCCATTCCTCGAGGAGGAGTGTCCTCGTTGCTTCTTCAAAGTTTCCACCCGCTCCTATTTCTTCTTCAAAAACCTTTTTAAATTTATTTAACGCCTTACGAATACATTCTCTGAGTTTGTACAACTTTTAAAAAGGAAGTTTTTATTCCGGCAAAATATTGCAAAAGGATTTTTTATGACTTCGACCGTAAACGTGTTTTTTCTAAGCAATGTGAAAGATTATAAGCCATCCAACCAACAACTCGTAATGGAAAAAGCTTTTAACATGAATTATAAATATGCACAGAGAGCCGCTACGTCTGCGAGAATGTTTACATTAGTTATATGCAAAGTAATGATAAATGGTACAAACATATATATTATACACACATAAATATGCATATAAGCAAAAAATACTTTAAAAGACATATTTTTGTTGAATATTCAAATTAAAATATATAAATTTCGATCGAGAAAAGGTTAAGAAAAACTTGAAGAAAAGATTTTAACTGCTATCGCATTTAATAAAGACAACTACACTTTTGAAAACTAAAGGAAACGTCAACGTCATTAAAAATCTTAAAAGATTTGTTTGCGGCTTGTGGATAAATATATTCACAGACGGTCAGTCAGTCAGCCATCCGGTCAAGTCATACAAAAGTAGCCAGACTGGGTTAAAAACGCACTCATGCTTTCATTCAAATGACTCAGTCAATAAAGGAGCAAAAATTGTCGCGTGCGCACTAAATTACGTATGAAAAACACACATGAAAACTCGTTATTCAACTCTTTTTATACGCATTACACCTTTGTACGATAAATCTGTTATGTATATATATATGTATATATGTATATATAATACTTGCTATTAGGAATACGTTATGTTACTTAAGGTAAATAGAAGAATCAATAAAAATGTATTTTCCTCTATGGCTAATCGAAAAGGTTGCATCGAATAATCTAAGATCGTATGTCGATAAACAAAATCTTCAGCTTACTCATCATACCGAGTATAAAGTAAGATCGACGAGCTTTGCGACAAAACAATCGGTAACTTTTTTAACTTTTTCTTTTCAGTCAATAAAATTTTCATTGATACTGACTGCGATGATAGGAACTGCTTATGTTATGTGTTTTGACACAGTTTCGGTGCGTTATTTGGGTGATTTGTGACTAATCGCAAAGTCAACGTTGCGCTTATCTACTCCGTAAGACTAGTCATTGCCGCAAGTTCAAATATACCGAGCATGCGTAGGCCGACATTGTTAGTAGTTGTTTTAGAACAGAACTTACTCTAGAAGGCATTTCCAACAAGTCCGGCGAGCAATGAGAAATAGCTGTTGACGATTCCACGATTGTCACAATTACACAGTTACAGGATTTTGTCCGCTCATGTACGTTTGCTTCCGACAACATAAAATGTGGGTAGGTTTTCCTCGGCTCCTTCTAATAAACGAAATTTCTTCTCCCTCAACTTGCATTAAGTACAAGATACGAATGTGACTCGAAGATTAAGTTAGATGGATGGGGAGAGCAAATGTATTAAGGAAATAAATTCAATGGGTTCACTCGGCTATGTTTGTCATAATTTGATATAAATCGTCAAATATGCGAGAGCAGGTAATAAAAGAATATTTCGCTGCGTCTCGTTACCGGCGGAAATTATTTAACAAAGGCTATTAAGCTGATAAATTTTAAATGTTAGCGTCGCTATGAGTAGCTACACAATCTCCCAATACGATAGTGTTGGTAGATCCTTTTTCGGTTAATTCTCTTACATGCAAACTAAATTATATGTCTACAAAGTCTCTAATTGATTTCACAGCAGGTAGAAGTAATAAATATATCTTTTTTTCTATTCATTAACACTTCACTTAAGCAATTAACTGCATGACTAGCTTCTACTTTTAAGCATTTGTTTGTCGTCGGAAGTAATTGCCGGAAATTGCTCATTATCTTAACGAAAACATTTAATTCCAACAGAGACGATTCATGTCGAAAGTTAAATGACGCTAATAAGAATATTTTACATTTCTCTTATCGTTTCAGCTGCTTTTCCTATAGCACGGCGTATCGGGCATCCATATCAGAATCGTACGCCGCCGAAACGGAAAAAGCCACGAACCTCTTTCACCCGCATACAGGTTGCGGAATTGGAGAAAAGATTTCACAAACAAAAATATTTAGCCTCAGCTGAAAGAGCTGCATTAGCACGAGGCTTGAAAATGACTGATGCTCAAGTGAAAACTTGGTTTCAAAACCGACGAACGAAATGGCGGTAAGTTGAAAGGAGGAAAGAAAGCGTGTACATGTACGCGTGTTTTTGTGTTTGTGTGTATGTATGTTTCGTGTTTGTTCTTCTGAAATTACTTATCAAAGTCTTAGGGTAAATAAAAATTTCCCGAGGAAAAGCTTACCTCCTCTAAGCGATATACGCATTAAAGCCTAGGTTAGATTAACTATTGTAAGGCACTGCACTACTTGTGTAAAAAATTATTCACTTGGCATCCGATTGCCTGACCAATAGATAGATATAAGAATATTAACAGAAATAATCGAAAATTTGTCTGGTGAGTTATAATCACTCTAGAGTTCTATGCCGCTCTAAAAAAAATATTTTTTTCGTTTGGCGGATTTATCTACGAACCCTGGGTTATTGAATTGGGTTTGCTGATTTGCACTTATGGGGCGCTAAGGGGTATCGCTATCTTTAAAATTTAATATTTTACAATTTTTTCTATCTCCTTAAACTGTCCTTTAATTGAAGCTTTGAGGGTGCTCGAGTACTTCGTGTGGCTCAATAACTCGATTTTTGGACTGAAGGTACAATTCCTAAATAACTCTAATCTAATGGCGTTATTATTGGAGTACCTCAATCCTTAGCCGAGTGGAAGATGAGGGATTGTTTCGATTGATTGACTTTAACGAATTTTAGAATTGACTTTTGACAGAGTTTTTCGAAAAATAAAATTGGAACAATTTCCCTTTACTTGGAAAGAAAATGTTGTTATGAAGCTGCAATCGAAAGTTGAAATCAATCGGCGGAAATAGAAGGTATGCTAATTGTACGAGTAAGGAAGTGGTGTAAAAAGGCAAGATGTATTTATTTTGGAAGAAAGTTTGGCCTTAGGGAAATCAAATGTAAGAAATAAGCTTTCGCTCTTATAGGTTAGCATTGCGCGAGTGTATGACATATGCAAGCCTAAGTTTTGTTGACAAAATTTTCTGCAACTTTTGCAGGTTTTTAGAATATGCTTAAAGAGAAGCCAGACCTCTTGGGTTAAGTAGGCGTATGCTACCTATTAATTCTTTCAAGTAGGCTGCTCTGCTTATCTGATTGTAGTCTGTTGGCATGTCTGTGTCTCCGCGGCATACAGATAAAGTTTCTATGAAGCTATTCAAAGTTATTTCGCTTCGCTTCCATTTGTCTTTCGAATTCATGGAATTTCTCGAATTGACGGGTATTCGTTTTTTCGCCTAGTATTCGAGAGGAAAAATCTAAACTTCTTAAAAAAATTTGCAAAATATTGTATCGGCCTTTTGTAATGTTCATTGGACACATAATACTGAGATGAAGGATAGAGAGCAATTACAAACTTACCGGTAGCTTGATCTAGGTGTCAAGTAAACAGCGTAGAATCTGCAAAGAGTAAGAGAGATTAAATGTGTATATAAAACATAAGCGAAATGAGGAGATGGTGCTTAGAGAATACAACTGAATCAATTTGATTAATAATAATGTTCGCGGCCGCAAAATAAGCAAAGCAAAGTAAACTTTTGGCAATATTTTCCTGTTTTAAATAATAATAACGATAATTACTTATTAGTTTTAGCGATAAAATCCATTACGAATGCGTCATTAATTTTAATATATAAACATTAAATTCTACCAGTTGGTAGATATCGTAATGTTCTGTGTAAACAAAGAAATAGAAAAAAAAAAAAAAAAAACAAATTAATGATTACTTGGAGAATTATGACACAATTATTAAAATGTACGAACGAAAGTAACGATCATGAAAACGTTAATAATTACTATTGACTGTGATAAAATTTATAAAATACTTTAATTAATATTTTATGAATACATTATAATAAATAGAGGGAAATATAAATTGGAAATTAGTTAACAATTTGTTGCTATTAAAAATAATATTTAACACTTTTTTTTTTGCTTCCTATGCAACAGAATTTATCGTGTGTAGTAGTAATGTCTCTCTCTCTCTCTCTCTCTCTCTTTCTTTCTCTTTTGATTTTTTTACCATTTCAAGTTATCGCGCAATACGCACACATGAACATTGTAAATAAATATTTATCGTGTTGTCGGGCAAAGTAAATAATTTTATATGTAAATTTTTTATAAGCTTAGTTTGTCATTAATAAAAACAAAAATTAATGAGCTTCAATTAAGTTAAAATTTACAACAAACACGCATACATTTACCAGCCAGCACACTTTCAGTTAACTTCAATTTGAACCTGCAACTCTCGCAAAAGGCTCTCCAAATATCCGAAACGTACAAATGGAATGACCAACGGCCATTAATATGTAAATGCGATTCGACTTCGGTGCATACATACATACGGACTGTCTCACACTAAAAGCTAATGTTTTAAACGCAACGTCTAGTTATCATAATGAAAGTGCTGCCATTTTGTTGTTGTTGCTTTTCACTGAATAACAAATGAGTTTAGTTAACAGACAGACACCAGAAAAGCGGCGAAAACAACAGAATAATACGCCATACGCGTATCAGAGACCACCCTCGTTTCGAGGAGAGCTACTTTACCTTACGCGAACGACTTTTCCCGTTTGCATAGGGGTTGATATTTCTTTTTCTTTTTTTTTCTTAATTTTCACTCTCCTGCATGTTTTTTCTTTCAATTTAATATTAAACTTTCTGCTAACCTTCCTTTTAATGTCCTTTTGAATTTTTAATGAGTTTGTATTTTTTTTTCTTTCTTTATATTTTGTAGTCGAAAAATATTAAAAAATGCTTTAGGAATTTTCGATGACAATCTAGCGACAACTTCTAATGCATAGTTATATTTGGTAGCACTCCACCACCAATAGAGATTAGTGTTTTAATTACGTTTGGAGATTTCCTTTTTTGGCAAGTAGACAGGCGCATAGAAGACAATACAAAATATATAGAATGAACGTCCGGAAATGGTTTTAATTTTCTGATGATATTTGTTAGTGGTGTCGAATACCACTTGTTCGGAGAGCTCAAGAATTATCCATCTTTTATTATAGCAATGAATGCAGAAAGAGTTTTCATCATTCTCTGTACCTTGGCCCAATTCTAAGAAATCCTTGTATGAAAGGAATTTACAACTTTTAGCCTTTTCCAGCAGAAATAGGCAAGAGGTCATATTGGAGCATCCTGAGAAAATGTGGTTGAGAGGGGATTATTTTTTGAGGACGATCATAACTAATTTCTAATGTTTCATAGCGAAAATTAGTTCACAATTGTGATATAAATTTAACCAATTTGGACCGTATTGGCCTCTTTTTCAGATATCAACTTTCCCATCCAAGAATTCCCATGAGAAGTAATCCTTTTTTTGGAAGTTTACTTATAATGTTTGTGGCTTTATGATAAAGAAAGGTAAAGAATTGAGAAACTCGGAGAAATGGTATGAGGTATGTGACGGTCGCGCTTGGAGGACTGTAGTAGTTTAGCTTCCTTTCTTTTTCTGATAATACGAATTACATATGCCATATCATTCAGGTCTAATACGTTTCTTTACTTGCATTATATGCAACTAAGAGACGATCTAGGAGTTAATTAGCATATGCTGCAAATAATTGATTGACAAATCTTTGTCCTACGATATAAATATAATACATATAGTGGACCTTTGGTGGCCAATTATGGTTGGAAAGTTCATGGAATCATTTGTAAGGTGCTCCGAAGATTACTCCTCTATACGAAAAATGGGAAGCTGGTGAATCATTCCTAGCTACTTCAAGGTCATACATGTAGCTTGGTTCGTTAATGTGTTCTTTCAATATAGCGATATAGAGTTTTGCGTGATACAAAAAACGTAATAAATGTTTATCTCCTTCTTTTTCTGCTGAATAATCTGAAAATCGGTTGCAAAATCGAGTATAATTGCAGATCTGAGAACACCTTCCGGCCTTTGAGTTGTAATATGCGAATGAAAAGAGCAACAACACAGACTTCATTGCTCTTTCCATAGTGGGGCAAAAGGGTACAAAAGTTTTGGCACATGTCATTCTCTCTCCATAAACTCTTCTGTGACTCCTCGTGTTTGATTTTTGAATCAAACTCAGCTCATACTCTGTGAAAAGCGCTTCACTTTTGGCAGACTTTTCGATCAACGAGCGTTTACTGCACGGAATGTAACATGAAGTAATTAAAATCTTACGCGTGCAAACAGTGCGCTAACATATGATATGTTTTATACGTAAACGTATATACAATTGTACATAGTTGTAGCCCTTTTGATGTTCTTCGTGCTACACATCAATTATTAAACCAACATTTAATTGCAGTCGCTTTATTCAACCTTCTCTCGTCGTACTGATTATAAATCATCTTAAAATAATTTCGAACCCCCACAGAAAGTATTATAAGGGTTTAATTAGATGAAACATACATCTTTTTGGGGAAAGGAAAAAATATAAGACACAAATTATTAATTTACTACACTAAACACTAATTCTTCTTATGGCGCAAAAGAAAGTTGAAAGCATGAAGGACATGTTAAAATAGCAGTATTTTAGCAACAACAATAACAATGGCGAACAAATTTATGAAAGTTACGTTTGCCACATATGCGGGGCATGTAGCAGTATAGATGGTGGCTGTTCTAAAAAGTATTAGGCTGATGTTGACAGTGATAATGGCTGTGATTGTCCAGGTGCACCGAGTGGGTGGAATAGTTAGATTGAATATTTCGAGCGTTTCATAAGGTTCTCACTTTCTCCACGATTTTCGTGCTGCATTATATTTATGCTCAGACTTGAAGCAACAACACCAATTTGCAATCAAGAAGCTTAGTACTTTTTATTCTTATTATACACACTACGTGTGATGGTCCTCTTCCTTTCGGTGCAGTCTCGTTTACCCAATAACTACCCAGTAAACTTTTGCTACACACACAACCATTATAAATGACTTTTTTGGAAACTTTTGAAAATTGTAAACAATTTAGTTTCAAAGTATGAAACCACACATAGCCAAGCATGAGAGATAGGTAGAGGGGTAGAGGAGAAGTGAAAAGCAATTAGCTTGAAACGAAACTTTGCGTTTTATGGATGATATACAAAAAAATCTTTAAAATTAATTACTTACAAGGGACTCTATAATACATATGTTACCTAAATACATAGACAAAGATACAGTCTTATGTGTGTTCGGTTTGTAAGTTTGGTTTTCTCAAGTTCCGTTTAATGTCCCATTCAATTGAAGCTTTAGGGAAGAAAGTAATAGTAAACCTTGTAATCTTTAGAGAAGACTTTCAACATACGCACTATACATGTATGCGTGTGCACAATGTCCCTCTCCCTAAATAATATGTAGGTATGAAAACCCACAACGGGGAGATAATTGTAATAAATGATGATGACTTTTATAAGAGTTTTAAGTGTTAATATTCCATCTTAAATGCACATAGACCGAACACAATGAGGGGTATTTGCGACACCAGCACTAAGAGGACGACGGCTGGCGGTGACGATATAACAAACAACATTAAAACGATAGCATTTATTATTAAAATGGTTTCTCTCTCGCTTGTTGTAAATAAGTAGAAGCTTTTAAAAACTTAAACAATTAACATTTATTTTACAATCTATGATCTTATAAATAAATACATTGTAAACGAATCGCTTTAATAATTCGACGCAATTTTCCTTCTTATCCTTCTCTCTCGGTAATAAATCTTCGCGAAGCCTACAAAATAAACCGGATCGCCACTAAATATTATCTTGTCATCCGAATTGAAAAATGAATTTGTTAAAGCAATTTTCTGTTTTTCAAAAAAAAAAAAAAAATTAAAAAAAAAAAGAATAAAAAAAAAAGTTTAATTAAAATTCTATCACACCATAGACACAACACACAATTTCACACAAATCTAATGTTGTTTGTACGTTCGCTCGCTGTATGTTCGCTGCCAAATATTTGGCTTTTTTCCTTTTTTTCAAAAATTGCCCGTTATTTTGCTCGCTTCGTTATCAAGTCTGTTTTTTTTTTTTTGTTTTTATTCATACGGTTTGGTTGGTTTTTGCGAAAAAACACCAGCAGCAATTGAAATTTTTTCAAACTGTTTGTTATCCATTCACACGCAATAACTCATGTTTCTAACAAACAACGCAAACAACAAAATCATCTAAATTAAATATTAAAACTCACATAGACGCGCATATATAACATACAACAACAATAACAACAAAATTGTTATAACTCTCCAATAAAATGTGATAAATTAAGTGCGTTACACAAGCACACATTCGGCAAAATATCGGCTGTGAATATATGAGCGTTGATCGAAAAATTCCGATCATCATTTCTATGGGCAGAGATAGGGGAATTCGCACAAGTTAACAGATAACAGTTGAGGCTGCTACAAGCATACGCTTGAAATATATTCAAATTCTTAATTTTTAAACTAAGGCTTTCGTTTCCGAAAAAACTTCTCTCTCCTCAAAATCTCTTCCTTTTCGACTCAGTCAATGGCAGTTCAAGGCACCTATTTTAGGTGAATACGTCCATCAAGACATACGAACGGTAATTTTTGAATAAAAATTCAAAAAGCTTTAAACTACTGATAAATCCGCCTCACTAACACTTTTGGCTGTGTTTATGTTTCGGGACGAATATGGATAGCATCCTTGACAACTCTTCTATAGAAACCGACCGCCAAAGGTTATGTTTAGTATATCCAGAGTGCTTCATATTACATTTTTCCAATATTTTCTACAAACTTGAAATTTCCGGTTATGTTAATATTATTCAGGCCCGCGAGCCTTTCGTCATGAAAGTTAGTTTGTGACAATCGTGCTTTTGGCCCTTATATCTTTGAAAGACCCTCGAAATATAAGCCCAACCGGTTTTTTCGGTTTATCGACTTTCGTTCGTTCTCCTTCTTTCACTTCTTCACAATAATAATTCTTTAAAAACCTGGAAGGCTGCCAGACATCGATTCAAACTTTATAATTCGTGCATTAAACGCATTCACATAGAAGTAGATTGTGAAACCCGTAACTCGTTTGCAAAAGTAACGATTTTTCTTATTTTAATTTGTAATTCAAGTAGCGGTTGGTATCTCTAATAACCTATAGTTCGGCTAAAAAAAACTATCCTTCGGTACGTATATAATAAAAAGCACCTTCAATTGTGTTGATAGTTGAGACGAGCGTATGCGAAGGCGAATATTAAGTACAGGGAGCAATAAAATTCATCCAAAAATGATTAGCTTATGCAAGAATACCACAACTGCAGTAAGTGTATCACATCTGCTTTTCCTTGCTGTTAAACATGAGCAGCAGCAGCAGCAGCAGTACTTTTATGCTGCCATATCCATATAGTCATTAGATTAAATCATAGTAAACATAAAGCAGGTAATATATTCCACCACTTATGTCTGTTTATGGAGTTTGCGTAAAAGTTTTCCTTCCTTTCAATGAATGTTTTTTGTATTTGTTTCCTTTTAATTGCGTTTCTGATTTAGGGCATTCTTTTGAATCCATCTACAGCAAAACATTTTCGTTTTTGAACTTCGTTTTCGATATTTAAAAAAAGGCGTTAAATACATGTACATGAGAATACCATGGCATTATCCTTGAAATTTCAATTGCGTTTCGATTACATCTACAAACAATTGTCAGAATTGTTAGCTTATTTCGAAAGAATTCGAAAAAGCTTTTCACAAATAGCCGCCGTAAGTGTATACAACACAATGGTGAAAACTGGCTTTGAGTTGATTGTTCAACAGTCCTAGGAAATGAGGCTACAAGGTCTACAAGATAAAGCAATTCAATGGTTCTTGCAGTGTTATAAGCATACGCCCACAAGGGATAGGGTGAACAGTCTAAAATGGCTATCTTTTAGCCAAAAATTATTGATGAATGTATGAATGTATTAAATATTTACAATGAAAAAAGGGGCGTTACCAACATTGCACATGACTTCAGGGTCAGTATTAATACGTTTAGCTTCTCCCAAAATGCTTTATATCACAAAGGACTAAAAATGGATGTGCAAGATAAGTTTGTTAAAAGGGCGAGACTACAAGAATCAATAAAATCAACGCTAAATAAATTAATAAAGAAAAACAAAGAAACTTGCTTTAAAGGAAGGCACTATTCACACACCTCCCGGGCTGCGGTCACTCCCGTGTAAACAGTGTCTCGTTTTTATAGTTTAGTTTACTACATATTAGAAATACATTTGAATATTTGTGAGAAGCACTCAACAAATATTGTGCGACACACATGCGAAAGTAAAATTATCGCACCCTCCTACCTATAGTAATATATTGCTTAAAATCTCCACGCAATCCTATATAGAGTATACACCATTTTAACAAAAGTGATTATCGTTATAAAAGCGTATAAGTCAAATTTTGACAATGTGATGAGTTAATATGTGTAAGGCAGGAGGGAGTGATATTTAAATATGCACGCATGAAATGTTATACGTAAAGAGCAGATAGTTTTCAAAACTTTTCATAATTTTGTCATCAAGCTCTTCTCTCTTAATTAAATATGCTGACTAAACGAAAACCATAATGAAACTATAAATTATGTACGAAAATCATGTGAGATTTCATGGGTAAACTTTAAACATCACTTTTATTAAATATTAAAATTTGATTCTATTAATTCGGTTATGGATTATTCCCCTCAACGATGGGGGGGATGATGGATAAGTGTGCCGCACAATTTTGCAGCAATTACACTAAACATAACAAGTAATTAAACCAAACAAAAGTAATAACGATTATTACTGAGTGTTAATAATATTCGAGACTCGAGACAATGATATTTTTAATCATATCGGGTTCATAGGATGCGGACAACTCGTCGTCGTACAACACCTAACGGCGTTCTGTCCCGCAGATTGCAATTTAAAATGTGCGTACAATTTGTGAATATTCAAAGGGAGAATTTAAGGAATGCTTTGGGTCTGTTGCAACAGTCGTAGAGGCTTTCCTTCTATCAGGAGGAACAATTTTGCTTTACCCAGAAGTATTCATTTTGCGCCTTTTTCTCCAGTTCTCGAGTTTCTTGTTGGCTAGTTGTGCGTTGTGCGTTGTGCGTTGTGCATATTGAGTGCCTCGTACTGCGTTGAATCCTATCACGAACTAAGTAAGCCCAGAAAATGTAGACATTTAATATGTTAAAGAGTCGGTGCATTTAATTTTAGTTAAGTTCGTCATTATATATATATATATATATATATATTTGTAGAATCGATATATGCAGGCATATAAAAAATGTTTTCATGTTCTTGTTTGTTTTCTCCATGTCTTTACAGGCGTCAGACTGCCGAGGAAAGAGAAGCTGAGCGACAGGCAGCCAATCGCTTAATGCTTTCTCTACAGGCAGAAGCTATAAGTAAAGGATTTGCTCCTCCACCAACTGCCGCTTTAGCTACACAAACGGTAAACGGAGCGCCTTTAGCAGCGTTGCACGGCCTACAGCCGTGGGCTGAAACAACCCACGCGGCTGGATGCTAATTTTGTCCAACACATGAAATCTCTTTTAAATATTAAATTTGTGATAAACTGTATATGTATATGTAAATAAGATTAATTAAATTAATTGTAAGAGCTGCAACTAACACTTACACAATATACACGTATAAAATGATAATTAAAAGATCACTTGTAGAGTATACAACAAAGACCTTTCGCAATGCCCTTCTGTTCTGTCTCAAGTATTAAATTTATAAGAAATTTGAAAAACCTGACTCATTTTACACGATGTTCCCATATGCAAATATTTATACTTTTATCCATTTGCAAATTCCTTCCGAATTATATCGAACATGCCTCCGCTTTACTATTATGTTCAAGTGTTCTCGCGGATTAGGAATGAAAGTATAGCAATAAAGTATAAAATAAGAGAAAATCCGTGTAATTTTGAAAAAATTACATATTCCCTTATAAGATGTAGACTAATTTTCATATCTCGATTTTGATGTCCAAGCACGCGCATAAAACTCTGACCGCATAAGATGTATTTCCTGGTTTGGTCGAAGTCCGTAAATGAACAGAAAGGAAAAAACTAAACCTTCGCCTACAAATTTTGTAATAAAAAAAAAGAAAAGTCGGTCCGCAAAGCTGGAAAAAAGCCAAACTACGAAACATTGCTCTCATTGCAAAGCAACGTCTTATATAAGTGCTAGCAGATTCCATCTTTTAATTTGGTTCTGGTTCGGATTCGGCCGAAAGTGATTTTCTTTTCCTTTTCCTTTTCCTTTTCCTTTTTTTTTAAATTCGGAATGAGCTGCGTATGTGTAGTTCGTTCAATGTACATAAAATGTAAACGTATATAATATATTCATTTTAATACGAATTCATATAAATGGATTAGACAGAAGATGTTATAAAAGTTTTACTAAGTAGTTAATGCCGTTCTGCCGCAAACTGCTCGAGGTAAGCAAGCAATAGTTGCAACAACATAGTTAAAGAGAAAACATAATAGCAGCATATCCTTCTCGCTCCTTTATCCCAAATACCTACACAAATGTAACCTAGCATTTAGCAAATAGTTTAGAAATCTCTTAAGGCTTGAGAAGAAGAAAAAAGACAAATTTATAAATAATTTGCTTGTAATTTTCAAAATTTTATGAAAACAAGAAAAATACACTGAAAATATATATATATATATATATATATATATATATATAAAAATTGAAAACCAAGTCGTTTAATTGAAACTTGAACTGGAATAAGGGGAAATGGATGACAGCGACAGCGCTTAGAAAACCAAGAAAATATGATATGTATGTATAATGGATTATATATATGGAAAATTCTTTTCTATAGTTGGTCAAGGCTCGCAAAGTCGCTTTATTCTTATTATATAATTCATAATTGTATTTTTCCGTAAAACAAACACAAAACAAACAAATAAACAATCCATCTCTATTAAAAAAGCCGGAAATCAAACCCAAGAAGAGCCAAACTATAATTATATGTTTAACGCGCCGATAAACATCGTCGGATATTTTCTTTCTTTCTTCTTTCTTTCGTTTATGTCACATGTTGCTTTTTTCTCGGCAATTTGCAGAGCCACCTCCACTTGTATTAACTCCATATTGCAGGAAAACGTGCGCACAAATATCTCGTTCTTCAAATTATCTTTACTTTACTCTCTAATAATGCTTCACTCTTTAATCATAAGAATGCCGTCCGTATTCTTCACAACTTGACCGTAATTTTTTCTTTTTTTTTTTTGATTTTTTTTAATGAGTTCTTCAATTCTTTAGCAATAAAATAATTTTAACGATCCTTATATGCCTTTCAGAAGCAACACTTTTCATATCCACTACCGCCGAGCATGTTCGCACTGTTCATCTGACGGTAACGGCTAACAACGAAAATGAAACTTCGTTAAGTTCATTCCTTTGGAATGGGATGCGTGAGGGGCAATATCCTTGCATTGCAAGAATTGGAATTTTGCAATTCTAGGATTCTAGGAAAATAACTTGGGGTGTACAACTGGCTAAAGGCTCTTACTACTCTTGCTACTACTATATATTATTATTATTATTATTATTATTATTAAGCTGATTGAAACTCTTTCTCTGCCGAAGACTGACGAGTGTAATGTGAAGGTTAATGAATCTACTGTTTAAAGCACTTTGCATAATTTTCAGATGCGGTAAATAAGGTTAATTTTGATTGCGTACTTATGACGGAAGGGAAATAAATGTTTAACGAATTGGAAAAACTTCTTATATATAACATATACGAACATCTTTCTTACTTTTTCTTTTGGATGATTAAAGTATTAAATTAGATCAAATTACTGTTTCTTAGAGGATATTGCTACTATTAGCAGGTTCTCCAAGGCGACTAACAATTAAAACATGTAAAAAATATATCTGGGCTATGAAAGATTATCTGCTTTATTTCATATTACATGGGGTTGTGTTGTACAATAGACGACGACTAATTTCAAAAGCTATATATTAGCCCCAAAGCGCTTCAACCCAGTTGGAGGGAGTTCCGCTGAACTCGGCTGTCTTAATAGAACTGGTTGAAAAAATCAAGAGAAGTAACGTAAGCATTTGTAGGAGAAAAGCAGAATAAAATGCAAGCATCACGATCGCACTTAAAAATAAATTGTTGGACTAAACTTTTTGGCCATCTATTGCAAGTTTCTCAATGATGATATGTTGGTCGCAATAGATTAATCTACGCTAAAGTAACTTTTCTAACCACTAACTTACTTAACTATTATTAAAATCGTCTTTCAAATCAAAACTTTAGATTACCAGAAAGCATTGCAAAGCAAGAAGAAAATGTTTCAATCGTATGTGACCTGCGGGAATTTCTGCAAAGCGATTCCAACTCCTGGAATCCCATTAACATCTATAGCTCGCCTTTAGATAGCCAAAAGTCCCTTTGCAAAAAGGTTGTCTTAATATGCAATAATTGTAACTAAAATTTGGACCCGTGGTAACATGTCGTTCGTAGTTGGCGTAGAGCTCATCATCAAACGATAATATCTAGCCATCAAAAAGATTATATTTAGTTCAATGTCAGCTAAAAAATCAGATCTCTAAGCTGACTGCTTCAACTGGTTAAAATGCTAGGAAATCGTTAAAGATATGTTTGTCCCTAACATGTAACTCAGTAACTGAGTTTAACTAATCGAAATAAATTTGTGCTAAAGTAGCAGCGCACGAGTAATATGGCAGACCTTGATTGATTATTGACCAAAGTTGTGGACAGTTTCTCATTTAACTAATCTGTTTATATACGAACATGTCGTGTTCAATGTAATTCTCTTTTCCAAAAAAAGGAAAAAAAAAAAAAATAAAAAAATATAAAAAAAAGGGAAGAACTAAAAAAAAAAAAGATGGTGAAGAAAGAATACCAGAAAGGTAAAGCAGTATAGACAGAGAAGATTACTGTTACTTTTCTGTAGCATGAAATGCAAGGACATGTGTATGAATGAATGAAAACAGACGTAAAAACAGAGAAGAGGGGCAACACATTTGGTCAAGAAACAAATTAAAAGTGAACATTTTTTGACCAAATATAAAATAACAGAAAGCAAAAACGAAGAAGAAAAGGGGATTTAACTATTCCATCAAAGATGAATGAAAAGTGGTCGCCTCTTCTATGCATGTGTGCATGTGCATGTATGTATTTATACTGAAAGTTGAGTACTTGTTTTAAGTAAACGATATGTACGTACGATATAAACGTAACATACAAATAAGGAACACGTGTCCTCCTCTCAACTTGATGGACGTGCTTGATTATGGATTATGGTTGATAAAAGGGTGTGCAATGTAATAAAACAAAACGGATATAGGATATGAATATCTACAGCCGGTATTTCCAGCAGAACGGAGAAGGCAGCAAGCAAACCTTGATGTGAATTTCAAACAATCACTAGCTTAGGTAAGGCTTCACTCAGACCACTTGTACATGCGGCATTTACGCGATTTTGATAGATTAAGATTTTGTTACTTAGTTTAATATTAGTGACGTAACCAGCCCCTACACAAAAGTATATACCAAACTTGAGATCAACATCAAATTCGTATAACATCGTTTATAGATTGTTGTGCGTTGGCTACAAAACCCATTATAGTACTTTCTGTATTAATATTAGCTACTACGACGTTTTGGGCGGCAGATCTTAGGCAAGCAAGTCAGATAACACCGCTTCGAAATTTTACACCAATCAACCATGTATGTATAGGGTGTTGGAAGAGCCTCTCTGGATATTGTACATTAACAATGGAAAAATTCTATCTTGCCCCTGTCTTGCTAGAGGCTGTAGAAGATGGGCAAAAAGTTGTGGTAGTCTTGGCTTGCTTCATGCACGAAGCCGAATTCCCGACTTTGTTAATTAATCGAACTATTTTTTGTCTATAGAGCACAAATTCTAGAGCGTATACATGACATTTAATTAATTTATGGATTGCAAGGGGTTAATTTTCAAACTTGGTCAGTTATCTTAATTCAAAACTGAATTTGACAAATCACCCATAAGCATACAAACGGTAATGTGCTATAGCGAATAAAAGACGAAAAGAGATAGCCCATGCAATGTCAAAGAACAAAGCGGACTTAGTTGTATCACAAACTCACAGAAAGTAACGTAAAGCATTTCCACATAATTTACAACTGTTTACAAGTCAAATAAATGATGATTGTGGAGTCAAAGGAAAACAAAAGCAAACGTGGATCAAAGTCGGCTTAACACTCACCGCTTTTTGCTATGCTGTTACGGATTCGGAATTTTTTAATCGTCCTTTGCTTTTATAGCAATATAATGAAATATCTCACCAAACCTGGTTTTCTTCTGCCGTATCCTGAATTCATACGATGGGCCTCTCGCCCATTTTCCATTTTGATGTATGGCGCTGACAATAGTACGCTATTCGCCAATCAGAAAATGTAACGCGGCTCTGACCCGAACTCAGATGTGCTCTAAGTGTGTCAAGTGTAACTAACAAACTTCGTATACCATCGCACTAGATCGGCTTGAGCCGAATTTTTCAGTATCTTCTTGTTCATCAAATACCATGCTTTGAAAGAATACAAAACAATTGCCCGCCGTAAGTAAGACGGCTTTAGTATTCAACATAGCAATGAACAGCTTAGTAATATTCGTTCCAAGTGGGAGTAGATACTT